ACATTTCCACTCCTAGCTCTTCCACTATTAGTTTCTTTCACATTCTGCTCTTTGAAATGTTGGTGACTAGGTCTCAGCTTGAATATTCTGGCTCAATGAGGAACATAACTAATCAAGCGTCATGGCTAGCACTTACATTCCTCATCATGAAGGAATATTTAACTAGCTTAATACATTTGTTTATAGTGATGATGCAAAGAAAACAATTGATTATTATTTTGTATATGACTGGATTATAGTTTATAATGAAATACCTTACGGAAGTAATCTTCGCGAAGCCGAAACCCGTAAGCCCACAAGGTCCCAATGATCGGTAGAGCCAAAGGACCCGGAGGCAAATGTCTTCGGGACCAGAGGTGCCTCAGGAAGAAGAGAATCAGCAGAGCAAGCAGCAAAACGAACAGAAATGTCCCCATCGCCATCATTCTCCTGCTGCGTCTATGTTTCACTGATGGGAAAAGAATGGCAACATGTCTTTTAATACTCTGTCTAATGAGCATTCATACTTTGTGAGCAAGATGTTATCTTGCTCACATAATGGTTATACCATAATGGTGCAGTCCTTAAAGGACAAGGAGGGATCAAATTATAGGTAGAAATCTATAAGTGTTTTGAAATACCTGTCTAAAAATGATCTCACCATACAAGCTGTATACAATCCTCTGCACATTAGACCATATATAGCTGATCTTGGGGATGAAATATTTGGATTCAAGGGGACAGAGAAAACATTGCAAATATTGAGATTGTTAGTTTGCTACATGGTTGAATCTCGAAGATGCTTTTTCAAGAGGTCCTTTTGAGAAACAAGAATGTCCAGTTTTCTCTTTAAAAGGTATCTTTGGGGCAACCATGACCTGGATGGCTGAGAATCTCCATAGACCTTTACATGGTAGAATCATTCTTTCCTGAACTTCATTAATGGCATAAGGAGATCAACCCTATAATTTATGAAGTCACGCAACAGGGTAAAAAGTCCCCAGAATATATTAAGTTTGTTGATGCCCATTTGAAGGAAAATACTCTTAGAAAAGTTCATGGAAGAGATAAATCAGGACGATATAAAAATGCATTTTCAATTAAACTATAAGTCATTTATATTATTTATAAAGGATTCCATTTTTTTTTCTTTTTTTTTCCCTTTTTTTATAAAAATATCAAATCAATGCATGAACATTGTGGCACCCGGGCAGCATATGTTCTAATACAAACAAAATTGATCAGATTAAATATTATTATTACATTCAATAAACTTATATAATTCCAATATAGCAATATACATCTATATTAGGTTGCAATCTTTCATTATTCAGTTATTCCAATTATTACTTTCATTCTTTCAAACAAAAAGTATAGTACATTAATATTCCCTTTCTTTTTATCACTTAGCCTAGCTTTTAATCATATCACCCTATAAAAAGCTTTACCCTTCTTTCCCTTCTAATGTCTAATCATTTCAGCTGCCTACAAAAAGAGAAAGAAAAAAGCATAGAGAGGGAGAGAGAGGGAAAAACAATTCAAATCAGCAACTGAGAGAAGGAATCATCCTTCCATCATCACTTGCATGCTTTATACTTTCATATAAAGTATTTTAAAGAAAAAGAAATCGTTTTATTATCCCTTACTCCTCTCCTCCCCTTGCTATATATATTATCCCCACAATGTCAGCATTTCAAGTATCATGTAGAATTAAATCAGAGTCCAAGGCAAAATGATCCTTAAAGTTCCAATTTAATAAAGCAGACATCTTAGCACATTGCTGTGGAATGCCAATTCTGGAAATTACACCAGAATCTCACCCTGTTAAAAGTTCATGATCTTGGCCCCACACCCACAATCTATCACATGGTCCAATCTTCTTCCACACTGGCGTCTCCACCCAGCTGCTTCCAGTCAGGTGTAAAAGTGCGGAGACAAAAGATGACCTTGGNACCTGCTTGCAAATCATGGCCAAAATTCTAAGGTCAAAATTCTTTTGACCTTTAGCTCTATCCAATCCTTCACCCATGTTATTGTTATTGCTGATGCATATAAATCCCAATTTGGTAATGCTAAGCCTCCCCTCTCCTTGCTGTCTTGCATTGACTTTAGTTTAATCCTCGGTTTTCGTCCCTGCCAAATGAACCTAGCGGTTATTTTATTTTATTCTTGAAAGAATTTTTTTACCTGGATTAATAGGTGTGGCTTGCAACAGGAATAGGATTCTTGGTAAGAATTCATTTTAATTGTCGCTATATGTCCCATGAGTGATAACTGAATATTTTTCCAATTTTCTAAATCTTCCTTTATTTGTATCACTAATTTATTATGATTATCGTCTTTAATTGGGGAACATTTTGCCGACACCCAGATCCCCAAGTATTTCACTTTCTTAGTTTTTTGCATTCTGGTTGCTATACTTCCAGTTCCTCTTCTTGCTTTTTTGTCATGCTCTTGGTTATCATTTTTGTTTTCATTTTAGTCCTGCTACTTCGCCACGTTCTTCTAATTTTTGAATTAATTTCAGGCTGGATTCTAATGGGTCCTCTAGAACAAATACTAAGTCATCGGCATAGGCTTGGGCTTGACAGTTGCTTGACAATTCTGACCTATAAAAAGTGAAAGTTTAGCACCTTTTTCAAATTATTCCACATTATAGACTGGTGGGCTTTTTCAGAACTGCCATGCCATGGTATACAAATCCAATCAATCTATTGGTTCGAAACAGCCAGAATTAGCCACATAGGCTTGTTTTAAAATATATACATATCTGGAAGTATGTAAAGAGTAGCCCCTATCAGTAAATGCAAATCACTTGATACATGTTAGTCCTGAAGTAGTGTTAGAAGAAATGAAAGCTGGCCTCCTCTAAGGCTCAAGGCTGAATTAAAAGATGCCAGTTTAAAATTATATGGCTAAAACTGTTCATATCATACTTCCATCAACGCAAGGCAGAAAATTATTTTTTCTACTTATGTAATAAGCAAATGGGGCATTGATTCTATGTTGTATTGCCCATTTCTCTCCCCTTACCACAGAGATAGTATTCAGCAGGTTCTGACCAATTCTGGAGAACTGGTAGTGGAAATTTTGAGTAGTTCAGAGAACTGGCAAATACCACCTCTGACTGGCCCTGCCCCCATCTATTCTCTGCCTCCCAAGGGAATGGGAATTTTGCAGTGACCTTCCCCTGGAGTGGGGAGAGAATGGAGATTTTACAGTATACTTCCTCTGCCATGCCCACCAAGCCACCCACAGAACCGGTAGTAAAAAAAATTGAATCCCACCACTGCCTCACCAAGGCAAATTATCTTATTTTCACTGACCATCTGTCCTAGGAAGGCTTAGCATATATAGTATCCTACACAATAAATTTTTGTGCTGCAGGTATTGTTACTGAACTTATTTGACTTCAGAGGGGTGACCCTCACCCCTGCTGCCCACATGATGCGTTTTTTGCCTTTTAAGAACTGGACCTGGTTGCATTTGTTGATGATGGAACCCTATTTTCTAAAACAAGGGTTTCCAAACCTGGCAACTTTCAGACTTGTGGATTTTAATTGCCAGAGTCCCTCAGCCAGCCATGCTGGCAGAGGAATTCTGGGAATTGAGGTCCACAAGTTTGAAAGTTGCCAAGTTTGGAGAGTCCTGTTCTAAAAGGAGGAAAGACACCAATAAATATTGGAAGAATAGGCCTGGCTCCAATCTTGAATAGTAATTTAATTAATAATTAATAGTTAAAGTTTTAATTGCTTAAATGATCAGGTTCTGTACAAAACCACAATAAGCAGCTCTTTTCCCTCAAAGCTTTTTGCAAATTGCAATCTGAGCCTCTTCCTGAAAGTTTCTTTGTTCAGGCTAAAGCTGGAAACTAAGTCGGACGCTTGGTTTAACTCTTTCCTCCTCTATTAATCATACTTTGAAACATAGTAATGGGACACATAGTTCAAAATATCTCACTGTGGTTGGGGTTTTTTTTTAAGAAAAAGGAGAAAGGTAATGCACAGAATATAATTGTGCCATGAGAGTCAAGGTGAACATTTGGAGTCCTTTTTCCAGCTATATTTGTTCAAGCAGTGTGATCTTTTTGTGTGTGTGGGGGGGGGTGTAACCTTAATTTCAAACTCTCTGCTGCTTTGTGCCTTTCAGTTTCTTGTTGTCTTTATAAAAGAGTGCACTTTTCAGTTTTGCTGCTATAAATCAGGGATAAGTATTCTGGTGCTTTCCAGATGGCTCCTATTCCAGATGGCTCCCATAATCCATGATTAGTATGTTAGTAGTCATGGATTCTGCGTATTGTAATCTCTGGAAAACTTCAGTTGCTATCCTTGGCATTAGTGTTGCTTTGATTATGCCCAAGTGAAAGGAACTGCATGGGAACCTATAAAGAATAAACAGGATATTTTCCTTCCCTTCTGCACCCCATGACCCAACTCCCACTAGACGTGCAAATGGTTTTCATGGCACAGAGAGAGAAGTGACAGGCAAAATTTCCTTAAGCCAAAACCATTATTCCTATACTGCATAGAGGATAGAGTGATGACCCGTATCCCTTGCAGTGTTGGGATGCAAATTTTATTACTACAAATAAAAGAATTTTAACTGTCAACTGAAGTTTGGTGACAGTGTAACTAAAATCATCTTCCTAAATTGTTTTCATTTCTTCTAGAAGATAAAATTATACTCGACAACAACTCTTGTGTTAACATTGCATTCTCCACTCTACATTACATATAGAGCCAAGCATTACATATGACATATTGGGGCAATGTCATGTTCATTGCATAGCAAGGTGTAACTTCTTTAAACCAAGGTTGCTGTTTCAATCTTTGGCCATTCTTTTAAGAGACGTTACAAATAACAATCATTACACACTCACAGTGCCTCAGTATTATTTTTTTTAGTGCAGCAAACCACAATTGTGCTAAAATGGAAACACACATAATGGCATCATACAAAATGCAACCATTATGTACTCATGTCTGCAAGATACAGTTAGGTAAATTTGTTTGATGGCATCTTTATGTAAATTTTGTCATCTGCCTCCCTGTCCTCCAGGTGTCCATGTTGAGTTGAACTATGTAGAACATAGTTCATATTAATGCTTAGACTGTAATGTGCAGATTCATTCTGAAGTTATTCAAACTTGTAGAATTTAGAAATGTATCTTCCAATAAGAGTAGAAATAATAGTTAAAGAAACTTACCCATTCTAAGCAACCCTCTTCAACTGATACACCTATTATCATCTAAATTCAGGCCATTAAACCTTATTCCATTCTTCCTATGCAGAGCTGAGCCACTGGGTTTTTTCTCCCAATAATGCATGAGATTCCCATAGATCTCATAAGTGTAAAATTTAATTTTGAATTTTGCCTTTGTGCTGTAACTTGTATAAATTATCACTAGTACTTTTGGTTAGTTGATTGTTGTTGTTTTATCCTGGCATGAGGTTGTATTTTAGATTTTTTTAAAAAATAATAACATACCATTAAATATCACATAACTTTATATACCTTAGGATGGTAAGCGAATGTTTGGTACATACTTCCGTGTTGGCTTTTATGGAACTAAATTTGGAGATTTGGATGAACAGGAGTTCATGTACAAGGAGCCTGCTATAACAAAACTTGCTGAAATTTCTCATAGATTGGAGGTAAGATTTCTTGGTCAAGATTAGAATATTTGCCTACATTAATAATGATTTTAAACTGTTTTGCTTTATTTCTTTTACTGTATTTAAAAGAAGTTTTAACTGTACCAGTTTTAATAACTTTAGTTTACATTGTTTTGTGAGTCACTTTCATGATTTAGTTGCATTGAAATTTTGGGTATGTATATCAACCAATATTTTTTATTGTAAAAATTCTCTTTATTTGTACGCAATAATAAGTCATGCTTTCCCCCATGCTGATACTTGCTATAGATAATTCTATTTTGTCTATATGAGGATTAACAGTGGGAAAATGAACTTCCTAAGAACATATAAAATGCAGAGTCCCTATCTGAAGGAGTTGTGAAAAATAAATACAATTTCAAAATGTATTTAAGCTTTTCATTTGCAACTTTAATGTTGTATACACACAGCATTTCATTCTGGTTTTCCCGACATCAGCAATACTGTAGGTAGCTTAAGCAGAGAGTGCGTGAATTAGGATTATGACATGGAAGGCCCAGATTCAGATCTATCACCAGCTGTGGTAAGATGATTTTAGGCTTATCATATTCAGCCCAACATGTCACAAATGTGTTATGGGGATAAAATTTGAGGAAAGAATGCTGTGTATGAACACCTTGAATCTCTGATGAAAACACAGGACATAAATTAGACAACTATATTATTCAGAATGTGATAAGCAGAAAGCATGGTAGGAATTAATAATGGTTGAAGCTATAGAGATAAAAAAAACAATGCTTTCAGATCAGATAAAATCACTGGGTTTATAGCAGGTGCTGTATATTCCAGTTATACAGCTGGGAAAAAGAAGTCAATTATGATGATATTCTGTTCAATTCAATGTCATGTTTATCTTTTTCAGGGATTTTATGGAGAAAGGTTTGGTGAAGATGCTGTTGAGGTTATTAAAGATTCTAACCCTGTTGACAAGTGCAAACTAGATGCCAATAAAGTAAGATATTGATTTCTGATCAAACATTGGATTTTGGGCTTTGTCTCAATGAATATTTTGGTGTTAGAAATGGCCTAGATCTACCTGACTACTTCTCTCAAGAAAATAAGGATAACAAATTGTTTTTACACTTTCCCTCTCAATCTAGATATGAGTAGCATGTTTCAGGAATGAACTTGACCTTAAAGCTGCTCTCTTGTTATAACTGCTTCTGTCTGTCAACATGTGTACAGGTAGTCCTCAACATATGACCACAATTGAGCCCAAAATTTATTTTGCTAAGTGAGAAATTTGTTAAGTGAGTTTTGCCCCATTTTATGACTTTTCTTGCCTCATCTATTAAGTGAATCTCTGCAGTTGTTAAGTTAATAACATGGTTCTTAAGTGAATCTGGATTTCCCATTGAAGCTAGAAGGTAAGGTGATCATATGACTTTGGGGTACTGTAACTGTCATAAATATGAAACATTGCCAAGTATCTGAATTTTGATCATGTGTCCATGGGGATGCTGCAATGGTCATAGGTATGAAAAATCGTCATAAACAATTTTTTTCAATGCCTTTGTAACATTGAACGGTCACTAAATGAATTGTTGTACGTCAAGGACTACCTCCATTAGATACATCACAAGACCCTGAAAGCCCATCCTGAGGAACTTGGACTGGATATGTCCCAGAGCGATAATATGCAGTTGTGGAGGATTCTGGTATGGTTGTGTGAAAATATGTTGCTCATTTTTGGTTCTCTGAATGTTTGATATTTTTGTTCTTGATTCAAACATTTCATGTGAATCTTCATAATACAGGAAAAGAATCTGATTGAACAAATGACTCCATTTGGCACCTATTTCATTTATTTCATAAAACAAAGTTATTGTTGTGGCCTCTTGGCAGCTGGCCCCTCCAGCAGCCGAATCAGATAAGGAGGTGGCATGGGAGTCAGAGCCAGCATCAAGACAATCTGAGAGCTCCAAGGGGGAAGAGGGAATGGAGCTGTCAAGAGATAGAGACAGAGGGTGAGCCTTGGTCCTCTGATGGGAGAGTCAACAGCCCCCAGGTCTGTAGGTGGCTGATGATAAAGAGGAGGAACAGCTGGGTTAAGTGCCTGACACGTGGATGCTCACAAGACAGAGAAGAGGAGAGCAGTGGAAAAATATAGGCCGGTCCTTGGGACAGAAAAGCCATCACTGCTAGCGAAGCCCCACCCTAGCTCTGGAGATAAAAAGCAGGGGGAGAAGATGAATAGGTGTAGCAGACAGCTATTCATCTCCCTACTGGATAGACTTGTTAGCCTGCTGTGTGTGAGAGAGAGACTTTTTGCCGATGCTGATGGAGCTCCTACCGTGTTTCCCTGAAAATAAGACAGGGTCTTATTTTCTTTTTACTCACAAAATAAGCACTTGGCCTTATTTTCGGGGAGGTCTTATTATTTTTGAGGTGCCAGAGGCAGTGAGCGTGGTCACTTCATGGCTGCTGCTAACAAGTC